ATTATAAAAAGGTGACAATAGGGCATAATTTAGAGAGTTATATGAGAAAAACTTTCTTGTACTCGTACCTGTGCAATATTGCCCATTCTTGACTCGCTTTGATAGTGTTTTTTTTATCTCGTCTTCGACTCGATAAAGAAGAATTATCAAAGCTCATCAAGAATGGACGATCTTGCACAGGTGCTCATACAAGAACCTCTATATCTGACTTTACCATTAGATCAGGCTATTCCAGTGTGGAATTGGTATGTCGAAAATAGAATGACATCTTGGATTTTGGCTTAATTGATACTGAGATATTCCAAGATGAAATAGGTCGTGAAGTGAGTTTTTGGATGAAAGTGTGTTTCTTTGCAAAAAAATTCAAATAAATAAAAAATATTTTTGAAAATTTACTATATGAAATACAGTCTAGTTGACTGATCAAAAGAGTAGAAATACACAATGTTTAATCAACTTGGGGATATTGGGAGCTTAATAGTTTTTTTCATATCATTTTAGCTTTCAGCAGTAATTTATAGTTTTATGCTTACTGTTTGTTACAATTTTAATCAAATCTGTCCTTGTACATGTCACACTACCCTACCTCGATCACGCATGCGCGAATTTTTTGGCTTTCAATCAGGTCGCTTTTGAGTATATCGACTGCTTACTCAAAAGGTTAATACGTTTGGTGCTCGGAGTGAGTCAATATTGCTATTCGCTACACTTCAGTGGTGCAATAGTGAAGTCGATGTTCCAAGTTATGTGATAGTTATACAAAGAATGAAAATAATATCGTTTTAAATTTTAAAATATTTGATATGTCATAGTACACGGTACACAGTTGCAAAAGTTGATCAATACAGGGTACAAGGAATGTAAATTGTTCAATAGTACAGGGAGCGAGAAAGTAAGCTGATTATACAGACATACTATGTCCCGACCTCATGTACATTTACGTTGCAAACAGTGAAAGTAATGCTAAAAAGGCCGCCTGTTGATGCTTTGGGGTGTCATCAATTGTTATTTAATCCAAATAAAGTAAACATTATTTTGTAGATTTAGACACGTGCTTTCAGGTCGTATGCATTTTAGTCATAAGATTAACAAGAACGCTAGATTATACGTGTTACTAGGGTATCAAATTGAAATAAAATAACGAAATTAAATATTAAGACGTTAATGATAAATGACTATCCGCTATCAGTATTAATGACTATCCGCTACTCAGAATAATTAAAATTGCCTAAACTACATGTGAAGAATCTTTCTATTTAACCCTTTGAATGGTATAATTCACTACCGTCCTCAAAAACCGATCATTTAAAATGTTTTGTTCAAATTCACAAAAATACAGTTGAATAGCATACTGGAAAACGTATCCACCTATAACACGATGACACGCAGGTTAAATAATAGTTAACTGGTTTTTGTTACATATCAATGTAACATTTTCGAAGGGAAACTTACATGCTCCCTGTACGTTGACAGATTTACTGAAATGTATCGTGTATTGCATTTGGGTTTTGCTTCACTGCGCCCACTATTATCTATCTTTGCCTATAGTGTTTTTTTGCCAACAATATTCTACATACTGCTTGATGAATCAATTCTATGTCTGGTAGAACACTAGAAATAAATGTAAAATGTATTTTACGTTCAGAAATATGGAATTAAACCCACATCCTCCATTTGCAACTTAGCTGTACCCTGTTTCCATTTTAAACGTGGTCACGTGGTAGGGTAGGGTGCATGTGTAACATGGTCATTTTTACATTTTTATATTTCTACTATTCATGGTGATCAATCCCCATTCAGGTCATTTTAACAGGTCCCTTTGCTTACTTTTGCATCAGTGTGTTAGGTTTTAATCCCGTTGTTTATGTTCTTTTGTATGTACTTTGTATGTTCACTTTCACTTACTTTTCTTTTGTTTAAACCTGTTTTGTATGTTGTGTCATGCTGTGTTTGTTTTATGTTATGTTTTATGTTCCATATTTGGTATTATTCACTCATATCTGAGTTGGGGTGTTGCCCCAGTATTTGTCAATAGTTGCCTAGAGGTATATGATAGAGTGTGTACAGGACACTGTGTTTTGAAGTTGGAAATATATATTTTTTGAGACATTTTACTTAAATCTTACGTTTTATTATTTGCCACCCACGGCCTTCCATCGCCCATTTACACATGTCTCCTTCAACTTAAGGTTTAGGAAATGTATAGTGGAAAACCAATGGTCATATTAGAGCTTTCAGATCTCCCCTATCCCATTTATCATGAAAAATTAAAGAAAAATATGAAAATATAAAATAACTTGAAATTATAACTTTAACAAAGTTGTAGCTATTCTATATCAATTTTATGTGTTATTTAATGTTTTTAAGATATTTCAGAACCTTTATTGGTAAACTAGTTCCTAGAAATGAGACATTTAAGGACAAAACTTGGCATTTTTTACCATTTTCGCTTTCAGCAATAACGTATAAGTCCTTATATCTTGAGTTTTATACTGACTGGTTGGTGCATTCTTGGTCAAATTTGTTCTTGTAGATGTCCTCTTTCATTTAAGATATAAAGAATGTATAGTGGATGACCAATGTTCATGGTAGAGCTTTCAGATCTCCCATACCCCATTTATTAGGAAAAATGACCGGGAAATATTAAAAAGTAAATATATAAGCACTAGTGCCAAAGGGAAAGGACCAAAAGTTGTAATGGAACTTAGCAAGAAAAAGCAAACTCTAAGTGCATACCAGTCAAGAAAAACAAACCACATATAGCCCAAAACCATGATCTAGCGTGAAAAGAAACAATGTCTAATACCCCCTTTCCCCCCACCATTCAAGAATCAATATCACAATCCAAGACCAGAAGACCAAGGGACATTTCATTCATACTGAAGTCATTACAATACATGTTGAAGAAAAAATTAGAAATTGATAGCCAATTGATAGCCAATACTCATAACCTCAAAAATTGTTGTAGATACAAGTACTCATACAAGATAGAGCATTCAGTCTCAAATGGTGTGGGATAGATAAAATCCAGTCTCCAAGTCCATAGGCGTTTCAAAGGGTCAACATAACATAAGGGTCAAAATAACTTCAAATTATGAACTTTTACAAAGTTGTACCTATTCTATGTCAATACTACTCGTATGTATTATTTAATATTTTTCTGATGTTTCAGGACCTTTTAATATTCTAATGCTTAGAAATGAGACATTTAAGGACAAAACTTGGCATTCTTTTTTTCAGCTTTTTTCAGCAATAACGTATAGGTCCCTATATCTTGAGTTTTATGCTGACTGGTTGGTGCATTCTTGGTCATATCTATTATTTTACATGTCTTCTTCCATTTAGGATATAAAAATGTATATTGGACAACCAATGTTCACATTAGAGCTTTCATATCTCCCCTGTCCCATTTATAATGTAAATGAAAAAGTAATTTCAAATCATAAACAAAGTTGTAGCTATTCTCTATCAATACTATGTATTATTTAAAAGTTTATGGAAAAAATTTGGCATTTTTACATTCTGCTTTTAGCACTATCATATAATTTTCCACAATTATAATTCTTTGATGATAGATTGTTATATGTTTTTTATTGAATCTGTCTTCTTTGATTTAAGTTATAGAAAATGTATGTAAGACAACGAATGTTTTTATTAGAGGTCTAATATCTCCCCTCCACCATTTAATAAGAAATCCAACAAAAATAGAATTAAGAAAATTATCTAAGTTGTTATTATTATTGCATGTTAATATTCTTAAGCTTTTCAAAAGGCACATTTATAAGCACACGAAAAATCAAAAAATGACACATGAATGGGCAAAATGACAAATTTTTCACTTTCAGCAATAGTTCTTTATATTTTTAGTTGAATGGTAATTAGTTGATATATTTTAGATCATATATATAGGGGTTATGCACTGGAAGATATATTGTATATCCCAAGGGATATTTCCAGTATCCTAACCGACCGTGCATAACTGTTGTATTCCATACCTGATGAGGTTTGAAATAATAAGCATGTATCCCATATGCTCTGGTGTGTTTACTTGCAAAATATGTTATCACTTTCAAAAAAATTCAAATTTTTTCCAAATTTGTTTTCAATCAAAAAAAATTTTTTCAGATTTTTAGTACAATTTTTTTCAGAATTTTTTTCAAAATTTTTTTTACATAATTTTTTCAGATTTTTATTTTCATTTTTTTCCCGAATTTATTTTAAAAAAATTTTTTTGAGCGGGACATACGATTTATATGTCCCGGGGCTCCGTTGGAGCGGGACATACGAAAAATGTTTGCCCGGATATGGAATATATTCCCGGTTGATATGTCCCTGAAACCTCATCAGGCATGGAATACATTCAATTATGTGTCTTTTTATCTTCAAAGCATAGACAATGTGTTTTAAACACAAATGTACATATTAGAGATAAAATTACTATGGTGTAAATTCTGTGTCAAAAGTTTACAGACATAATTTCGCAATTTAGGTGCACGAAAATGTACGATTTCGTGTGCTCTTCATTCCAGACGCTCTAAAAGCGAACGCTCTCCATTCCTGACGCTAATGTTCTATTCCAGACGCTATTTACCTATTCCCGACGCTATCTATTCTGGACTGATTCTGGGGGTGATGACTTAGAAAATGTCTTGAGACATCACCAGCTATGTACACGCATTGTTCATGCAGTCTGTGAACAAGTGGTGAGAGGTCTCTGTGTGGGGACCTGGGAGACATAATCTAATCGCCTAAGTTTCCCTAAACTATTGCATGTCTAATATGTGACAAGAATAGTGAATGTCAGTAAATATGGCGTAAGATATTGTTCGTATCTTACCCTAGAAAATATATTGTTTTGTTTTTTGTTATTTTTGTGAGGGCGGCCGGACATCCCGGTCCTGTAGTGGACCATCTCTCTTATATGTGTGTCATAATAAGAGCACAAGATGTTTCGAACTCATGGGTGGTAGTCCATGATGTGTTCTTCATCAGCGGCTTGGGGAATGGGGAGGGGGAAGGGGGAATATTAGTGTATACACGGGTGTGTGTTCCGAAGTACGGGCAATGGTTTGCAGGTTTGAATTGTAAAAGTTTGGTGTGTTTTGGTTGGCACTAGTGGTGGAAGTGTTGTTTGGTTTTAAAGTTTGTAATACAAAGGTTTGCTTTATTAGTTTTAGGAGGGTTAATATAGGTTCGGGTATACATGTTTGGTGGTTTCCATACACATTCATACTTTTTTAATTCATAAATGTTAAATTGCTCTTTTGGTTGAGTTTGGTGGCCCTGAGAAGGGGCGTGGTTGTATTTTTTAAAGTAGTTTTATTCTACTGTCTCTTTCCACGGGGTTTTGTGCTTGGTTCCCTTCTTTTTGGTTTGGAAGCCTCACGTCTGTACTGTTCTGCCAATTTGTCTGCTTCCACATGGCCGATGGTTTTGGCTAGTGTTTGGATGGTTTCTATGGTTTGTTGTCTGTGGTAATCTAGTCTGTTCTGACTATGGAGTGTAGTGGCCTCTGTAAGCTGGCCGCTACAATGATGTAAGATTACGTCAAACGCCTTTGCAATGTCGGAGGTTTCTTTCTCAGGGGCGCCACATCTAATGTTTGGTATGAGGCCTCTTGGGATGCCTCCCGGGTAGTTGTTTAGACCTTTAAGGACGCCATCATGTCTGGCTTCCCAGTGTATTGATGTTCTTAAACGAGTGAGTAGAGCTGGGTCTGCTTGGCGTGTGGAGTTGGGGTGGTTCCCGATGTTTGTAGGTTGGCCTAGACCCATCGCGTCTATGATGTTTAGAGTGGGTTTGCGTGGTATAGTGTATGAAGGGTTGTTTTTTGTGAAGGTAGAGGCCGACTTGATATGGTATTTGCCTTTAGGGCTGCTAGTTGTTGCCTGTTTTGAGGCTTGTTTGTTGAAGACAGCGCTGTTTGCTGGTACTTCTCGGGAATGGTGTCCCTGCTATCATTCATCTCCATGGAGTTATGGGAGTTTTCCACTGCAGATAGACGCCTGGGTGTCGTTAGCGTTGGCAATCATTTGGCCTATTGATAGGTCTTTGGCAGAGCTCATGTTGAGGTTTAGGTTGTTGTTGTTGTGTTATCAGTGTGGTACTGTAATATGATCTTTCGTCCTCGTGTCTTATATTTAAATGGAAGGTGCAACAAACTTCCGGTTTATTGCTGTTATTAGTGAAAAGTCGATAATAGAGAGGTTAAGCTACACGTATAAATGCAAACCGTGAACCTGAACGCGTAAGTCCACGCTCAAGTACACGTTAAAGAAAATTTTCAGTTAAGCTACACGTCTGAAACCATGTCAGTGGACGTGGAGCTATATTTATGTGGCGACTGTGTCTAAAGGTCATGTCTCTATGGTGTAATGGATAGCACTTCGGCAATCTAGCACTCTACGTATGTCCGTTAGGCCTGGGTTCGAATCTTGTCGCAACATTTTGCTTTTTATTTTTTATTTATTTCATATTCAACCACAATTGAAGGGTCCAGTGCACTTTCCATTATGATTTCCCCATGAACAAAATGAATCATTTTTAACTGTATATCATAAAGAATACAATGTCACATAATGAAAAATATTTAAGCGTTTAGACCCACATTGGCTGAGGTTGAGGTCATTAAGTTCTGCAAGGGTATATTGACTTGACATTGGATGTATTCTATTGACTTAACATGTGGATACAATCAGATTCCGATGGAGGCCATTGGTTTCTATTGATTTTCCCAAAACACACTATGACCTGAATTGATTGCAAATTAGATAATTTCACAATATGACACAAATGGTATATCAATCAGATGTGCAAATATAAAGTTTGCAATCGATTCAGGTCAAACTTCAAATTAAAAGATAATACATTTTTTCATCATTTTTCATCATTTTTTCCTACAAAATGGTCATAGAAAAATGCTTCAAAAGCAACTTTTACACTTACGAAATCCCATACAACTTTGTAAATACAAAGATTATACTGTTATGTTTCATTAATAAATAACATATTTTGATAAGATCTAGGGATGTGTAGGATGCAAATGGATTTTGGCAGACACAAAAAGGCTTCATGGTTTGGCATCTCAACCCTGTACACTTTATGATTGAATATTGGCCTTAATAAGTGGCCCATTCATCAATACAGTGCTGAATACTAGTGTACATATAAATGAAATAATAAAAGCAGTATATTCAACGTAAAATTCAACTTATAACGTATACTTATACTTATAAGAAGACGTACAAGGTGTTTCATAATGTGGGTATTTCGTCAGGAAAGATCTTCTCGGACTCTAATAAATAAAGGTAAAAGGGATGCCTTTTGTACTTTCTTGAATTGTAGCATGTTTATTGATCCGAATGTGTTTGTCTAGAATAAAATAGGCTCATATATAGTACATACATATAGACCCATCTCTTCTCAAATTGACTTTTTGGAGATGCTCGTTATGAAACACCCTGTATGTCATTTGTTGAGCTACTGAATGGGTCGTTTCCAGGAATTGCTAGAACCTACTGGTTTGATTGGTGTTTCAAATTGATGGTTAAAGTATTTGATTGGATACTGTTCCTACTCAGCCGATTAATTTAGAAAATGCTTGCGGTCAATTGTTCCACACACATGTAGGTAACGCTTTATACGTAGATCCAACTGTATACGTGTATATACAATTTTGTAAGTTCATTGAACTTATACTGATCATGAAAACTTTAACATAATCAACTTGTTTATGTAATGACTCACTTGAAAGGATCATGACTCACTTTAAAGGATTGTGTTTAGAATACACTACAACTACTAGGACACGGAAGCAAGCATTTTAAAATTATAATGTGCATAATCTACACGTGCAGATGACAGTGCATTCACAGTCTCTGGTTGATGGAGCTTTTCTGTATCGGGAAAAGTTATGTTCCATTAACACCCTTGGTGTTAACAACGAATTTCCTCCTGCTTGCAGCGAGAAGACGGACCGGTTCGGGGCAATCTGCTTGCAGCGAGAAGACGGACCGGTTCAGGGCAATAGCTGATGAAATTCTTTGTCACAAAGTTTGGCATTTTTTATAAAATCAAACGCGCGTCATTGAAACTCACAAGATGTAAATAGCATGTCACTTACATCATACCTTGATGGGGAAAAATAGATCTTATATGTTAGAAGTACTAAATAAAAGTAATCGTGAAAATGAGACAGTCGTTCTCGAGAGAAAAGAGCATAAATGCGCATTTAGAGAGTTTTGGTCCGTTTAAAAATGTGTAAAAAATTGGGGTACTTAAAAGCATCGGGAGGCATCATATATTTCAAATTAGACACGAGAAAGTCAATATTGAGCAAGTTATGGCTATTTTAAATTCAAATAAAACCGTTAACCCGTACCGGTCCAGCTTTTGACCCGTACCGGTCAATTTTCGTTAGCTGCACTATAGCTGAAAATAGTAGTGCAATTCATTTTATAGCGACGCAGTATGCCTTAAACATTTCCCAGACCTATATATTTTGAGACTATCCTTTTAATACTGCGTCCCCAGCATTCATAAAAAATGGTGTTCAAGATACACTACCCATGCAAATTATTTTTGCATCTTGGAAGCCAGGCAGTATCTGTGTGACTTTATAAAAATTCGGAAATGTTCTTCAGATATGAGCCCCCTCTTAAATATTGGGTGCGGAGGTAAGTTTAGGGAGCTGCTCCGCACCCTGTAGGGACTAGCTTTTTTCAAAGGAACATGATTAAAAAAACGGAGCAAAAATATTAAAGGACGACTGAGAAAATTGAAAAAATGACAAAATACTGGTTTTGACCTAGTTCTTGACCTTTGACCTAGATTAAACCTGATTAGACCTAGATCTTGACTTGGTCCTGAACTGGACCTTGACTTGGACCTAGACATGGACTTGGACCTGGAAATGGACTGGACTGGTATTTTTTCAATCTTTTCTTCACTTCTCTTGACTTTCTATAAGGCTATCATCAGATCGATTTTTCTAGAAATTTAAAAATCAGCAATTTCTCGGAAACCGGCCGAACTTGGGAAATGGCGATTATATGTCAAATATTCATTATGGATATGCATAAAATGAATGTGAAAATGACTCAATCCGAATAGCAGTTCTAATTTGTGCAGCCAATGTTGACAGACGGACGGAGCAACGGATGGACGGACCAATGGACGGACACCTGGTCGATCCCATGGTTTTATCGCTAATACTGTTAATTTGAAAAACGGGTCCATAACATGTAATGATGACAATGAAAATGATGAAATTAGGTACGCCAATGAAGTGAATTCAGAGCAAAAGACCCATCGACCCACTGGAATACCCACAAATCAAGTTTCATAGCCTTGCCCAAGTCGGTCTCTTTTACTTATCTTGATTTCTATTATAACCGCCTTGACCCAAGAGAAAGCCACGTGCTTTACCGACCCAATGTTTTTGTTGGTAAAATTTGACAAATCAACGACGGCCCTACATTGTCGGACTAGGTCTTCGTGCATTTCCATCACGAATTCAGTTTTGATTTCAACATTGAATTGCATGATTTCATTTAGACGAGTATTAATGACTGTTTACAATTCAATGTACATTTAATAACATAATATATTGTAACTCTCAAGAAACACTCGATCAAATCATTGAATTTCAAGTCCTAGACGGGTAGTTTGCTTTTTATGCAGGTCAACCTGATAACGTTTTGATTGGTCAATCAGCCTGAAGTCACACGTTGTGTCCATGTCCATATTGTCAATCAATATGGTTTTGCGATACCCTTAGGTAGCCTATAAGGTATTATGGGAATCTCGGAACCGCTGAATAACTTAGCATAATATCAGCGATGATGCATTGGATTGTACTAGGTGGTAATAATTCAAGATCAGATGAGTAAATAAATACCGACTTGGGCAAGGCTACAAGTTTCAGAGTCATTAACATTCCTTGAAAATGACAATGAGCAGCCAACAGTTGGACCATCCATTGATTTTGTCAGCTCAGCTGAACGAGCCTCCAGATTCCTTGAAGCAAATTACCATAATTCAAGAATAATATTATTTATTTACAATTTTTTGAAATCGTGGTAAGTGGAATCTTTCCAATTACCAATATAGCGTTATTATTGTTTTTGGACACCGTGGATTAAAATATTAAAAATACACACATTCAAAATTATACATGGCAAATTATACATACCTTCTAACAGCTATGAGCGAGATGATAAAACTGGTCGAGTGAACTCGTTTGAGTTATCTATTCTTCGTAAAAATATCAGAGAATGTTTATAGTGTAGCTTTGGTTTTCTATTTCAATGAAGTATCATATACACGGATGAGTAAATATAGATTATTTAAACAGAAGTGCAAAATTCTTCCATTGAAAAGTACAGAGGCGGGTACTCACGAAACATTACATGTGCCTGACTGCATCCACATAGATCGACTAGCCACAGTGTATACGTATAAGTTGTACTTTCACTTATGTGCGAAATCTCTCTACTAAATGTAAGTGTCTTTGTTGTGTGACTTTAAGCGGGTATTGCTCTGGATGTAGTGCGCTGCTTTTAGTGTGGTTGGTGTGCTTTTGTTTGTCTAGGTTTGTGCTATAAGACCGTGTTAAAGTTTTGTGTTTAGGATGTTCGGTTATGGTTTTGTGGTTAATAAATCGTAATATGGTGGCGATTTTTTCGATTGATAAAACATGTACAATTTGCAAAAAAAGTGGCCATGTAAATACTGAATGTAAGAGTAAATCCTCATGCAAACTGTGTGGAATGGGTTCACATAGTGAAGGAGACCCAGTTTGCCAACACTTCATAAAGGAACAGGACATTACCATATTTGCTGGGCATTCTGGCCCTCTTTCAAACTTCTCTCCGTGTATATTTAAATACAACGATGTTGTGATGCAATCGGCAGAGCATGCCTTTCAAGCCACAAAGGCCAGGAGGAATGGTAACAATGATCTTGCATCAAAAATTATTAATGTAAAACAAGCCGTGATGCACACGAACTGTGAAATGTATACCGACATGGGATGAAGAAAATGCCTCCCTAATGGATGATATCCTGAAGGCTAAATTTGATCAACATCCCAATCTAAAGAACATTCTCATCAACACTGGTTCCACCCCACTGGCTCTGGCCATCAACAAAGATCTTACTTGGGGTACTGGACTGAGCAGAGCTGTTACAGCTACAACAGCACCCACAAAATGGCCTGGAAAAAATCTTCTAGGCAGATCTCTTCAAAATTTGAGGGCAAGATAATTGCCATGGCAGATAAACCAGCGATCTCGATCTCAAGTGACCAGCAGATGATTGACACTCCACAGATATCAATTCTTCAATCTTCACACACTCCTATATCAACCCATTCGCTACAAAATCCTATCTCCTCAGATGGACAAATCCCATGTACACCAACATCACCAGTCTTATTTACATCTACATGTAAGTTAACTTCCCCAACAGTACCTAGCCTTTCTACACCTAAAGTCCACCAAAAGTCAGAAGCAGATAAAAAGCGGAAAGCCAGCAGTTCTCCAAGAGAATTTAAGGCCACTCCAAAGAGAAACACTGTAAAAAAACATCAAAAAATCAATGAACATGAAAATCAATCTAGTGATAGTGAAAACTGTCACACTGATGATGATAACAATGATGATAATGTAATGGCTGTTGGTTGCAACACATTGCATCATAGTGATAAATTATAAGCGACTGTAAACTGTGAATAATGAACCTGATAACGTTTTACGGACTTGTTGTGGATGTTAGTATGGATTATAATATTAGCATCAAATATGATATATTAACTATAAATGTTAGTATTGATTATAATATTAGCTTAAAATATAATACATATAAATATATAAAAAATAAAAACATGCAAATATAATTAATATTACTAATGAATAATCATAGTGAAACATCTTTTAAGTTACTATCTCTAAATATTAGAGGTATTAATGACAAAAATAAAAAGTCTCAATTTTATAAGTTTGTTAAAAATCAGAATGCAAAAATAATATTTGTTCAGGAAACGTACTATACAAAAAAGCTTAAAACTATTTTGGAAAAAGAATGGGTAGGTAAAAGTGCTCATAGTATTACTGATTCCTCACATAGCAGAGGGGTTTCTATTTTCATTGACAACACTTTAGACCGTGAAATTATAAATTCTTACAATGATGATTGTGGAAGGAAATTATTAACAAATGTAAAAATTAATAATGAAATATTCTGCTTAGTAAACCTATATGCACCTGTAAATGAAACTCTCAGAAAAACCTTTTTAAATAGCATTCCAAGATGGATTGAACAACATTGTTTTAATTTCTAAAATCTTATAATTGCTGGAGATATAAATTTCAATTTATATGTTAATGATAGATATCCTACTCTTAAGATCTTAAAAAACGAATAGATTATTTTGATTTAAATGACACAGGGTTAGATGCAGGTTTTACATGGTCTAATAAAAAAGCCACACAAAAAGTAGGATTGACTATTGTCTAATATCGGAGGAAACTGATTATGATTTAAGTATAAAAAATATGTATTGTCCACTTTCAGACCATAGAGCATTACTTATTCAAGTTTGCAAAATTAGGAATAAAAAAGGGCCTGGTTATTGGAAATTGAATTCAGAAATAATAAAAGAACATGAATACAAGATAGGGATTAAAAAGATCATAACTGAATTAAGAAACTCAGAAATAAAATCTACAAGAATGCAATAGGAACTTGTAAAAGTGAAAGTAAAAGAATTTTCAATAAGATACTCAATTGAAAGATCTAAAACAAAAGCATGTAAAAGGATAGAAAATGAAAATAAACTTATTTGTCTAGAAAGGCTAGTTACACCAAATGAATCTCAGAAAAGTGAAATTAACTGAAGAAGTACACATGAGCAGGGGGATTAAGCAAGGATGTCCATTGTCTGCCCTACTTTTCATCATATCAATGGAAATGTTAAATTTAAGTATTAAACAAAGTGAAAATATCCGTGGAATTAATGTCAAATTAAAGGAGGACCAATTTGAAATTAAAACAGCATTATATGCAGATGATTGCACACTTTTCCTTGCAGATGAGCATTCCATAAAGAATGCCATAAAGAAAATAAATATGTTTTGCAAACTTATTTAGAAAAATGGAACAGAAGAGATTTAACCATTTTGGGAAAAATATTAATAATAAAGTCACTTGCACGCCCAAAACTTATTTATAGTGCATATATTCTTCCAATTTCAAAAGATATGATTTTAAAAATAAATAAAATACTATTTAATTTTATTTGGAACGGCAAAGACCGGATTAAAAGAAATATACTATATAAAGATATTTCAGAAGGAGGTGTGAATATGATTAATATCGAAAATCAATTCAGTGCTTTAAAGCATCTTGGATAGATAGAATTTTCCATCCTGGTGAAAAAAATCAGTGGAATGATTTACCCCGAACTCCCGTGCAGTGATATATCACTGCGGCGGGCAGGTATCTCACCGTAAGCATGGTAACTTCGTAATAAACAATTGACGTGATTGGTTCTAGTCCCATGCTCAGGTCGCGTGATTGTAAAATTTAGACAATTTCATTGGTTGAATTGCGCGTATTAACTAATAAACAACACGTGCGGTAACTATTATCAACAAAACTTTACTCAGAATTCCTTTCCGCGGTGATTTCTTCTCATATTTCAATAATTTTGAAATATTTTGACAAAATAATGTTTGGGAAACATTCATGAATACATATTTTATAAGTTGTGTGAAAATTGACCACATATGCGATGAAAAGGGGAACTATTTTCCCCAAGTTTTGGGGATTTGCTTCATCTGCCCGCCGCAGTGTCTATACCGAGACACTGTATTGGAGTTCGTGTTTTACCCCTGTGGATTTTAATAAAATAACATCGAATAATGAAATACTCCTTAGAATGAATTTTAATTCTGCTAAAGAGATGCCACTCTTATTAAGTATCCCTAAATTTTATCAAGAAGTATTATTAGGTTTCAATAAATGTAAAGACAGAGGGAATAATATAGCTATAAATCATGACAAACTCTGTCAAGAATCAATTTTTGGAAACTATTTGTTTAAGAAAAATAATGGAGAGTGTCTGTTTTTTTAATCTTGGATTAAAAGCGATATTCTTTATATAAAGGATATCATAGATGTGAATGGCAATGTACTTAAAGAAGAACATATTTTAGGAAAATTAAAAGACAAGAGAAACTGGATTTCAGAAATATCTTTAGCGAGGAAAATACTGCAACCTTTCGAAAAAATAATGAAACCTAATGTAACCATGGGGCGAGGGACAACACATGGGAACACGAAAAATGATGTAAAACTATAAAACACTGATTTATTTCAAAAATATATATGCAAATGGAATAAAATATCTGGTTTAAAGTGACAATCTAGCTTAAAGTGAATAGCTAGCTTAAAGTGAGTAGTTAGCTTAAAGTGAATAGCTAACTTAAAGTGAATACTATCTAGCTCAAAAATCTATCTGTCTAAATGACCAAAATCTATCTGCCTAAATGACCAAAATCTATCTGCCTAAATGACCAAAATCTATCTGCCTAAATGACCAGGCCACCCGCTAGGGCACCCACACTTGACCCTAAATATATCTCAACAGGGTGGTGAGTATTAGCACTAGAAAGCCCACTGGTAGACCCGTGGAAGGTCCTGGCTGTTTGAAAGTTGAGGCTAATACTGAAGAAAACATGTGAAGTGTGAATGAAAGTTAAGCTCCCAGCAGGGTTTGATTAGCCTACAGAAAACTGTAAAATGAAATATTTAGCCCTCCATAACAGGGTTATTGAAAATATAAAAATCCAAATGTCACCCACACGCGGACATTGTCATAATTTGTCCCAAATTATCCTTAACATTTGGCTTACCACAGGAATATAAAAACTTAACTGAAAAACATTAAACTGTCACACACACGTGGGAAAATAACAATATGAAGTACCATTATAAAGGTTTATCCTCCCCTTAATAGCATCCACTACCTAAAATGGTAGTTTATAAAATTATAATCTCATATTACAAAGTAACTGAAAACACCAAACTTTTTATGTGATTTTAATTTTTTTTTAAACACGAACTACTTTCAAAATATAAAATTCTCTTTCTAGTTCACCTGAACTTAAATTACCTTATTTAGATACACCCTAAAAAAATATACCGCAAAATACACCGCAAAATCAGAGGGTTGCGATTTTTTGAATGCATCTTTGTCACCATTTTCATCTCTAATGTTTGGTGGCAATTCTTTAATGTCTTTCCTATTGACACATTTGGTAACGGATTCATCATCAGCTTGTTTTATTGTATAGACGTCATCTTTCTTTGATACTATTTCATAAATTTCTTCTTCATACGATCGAGTCTTGTATTTTGTTCCTTCCACTTATTCGTTTCCTGTTTAATACTTTGCTTCCCACGTTTAGGTCATCTGTCCTTGATTTCTTATCATGAAGATCCTTTCTTCTATCAGCTTCTGTCTCTATTCTTTTTAAGGCTATTTGGTTCGCGTCTTGTAGCTTCTGTTTGTGTTGTTTAATCCAATCCTCATCTTCGTCCATTTCTCCTTCACTGACATCAAGTTGAATGCAGATAGGTAGTCTTGGAAGTCTCCCAAACATTAAGTAGAACGGTGAGTACCCTGTAGTGCTATGTGGTGTGATGTTGTAGCAGTATGTGAGTTCTCGAATGTATTCTGGCCACTTCCTTTTCTTATCTTGTTCTAAAGTTGTAAGAAGTGAATGTAGTGTTCTGTTGTAACGTTCACACTGTCCATTACCTTCTGGGTGGTAAGGAGTAGTCCTAGATTTCTTGATGTTGTATGTCTTACACAGACACTTGATTACATTGCTTTCAAAATTACGTCCTTGGTCACTGTGAAAACGTTTTGGTACACCATACACTTGTATAAAGGATTTCAGCAAGACTTTAGCCACTGTTTCTGCCTTTTGATCTTTTGTTGGTTCTGTAACCGTCAGTTTGGTAAAAGCATCGGTGATTTCTAAGACATTCTCCATGCCATTGGAAGCTTTCTCTAGTAACGTGAAGTCAAGAAACACTAGATCCAAAGGTCTCTTTGATGTTAATCGTCCTAGAGGTGTCACGATCTTGTGGTATGGTAACTTACCAAAGACACATCTACTACAATTCTTGATCCAATCGATTACATCATTGTGGATTTCTGTCCAGTAGAATCGTTGTCGAATAAGTTTCTCAGTTCTCTCTATTCCTTGGTGTCCAGTGTAATCATGTAGACTTTTCAGCACTTCTTCCCTTAGCACTTCTGGCACAACAGCTTGCATTATGGCTCTGTCATTATCATGCGATTTCCTGTAAAGTATGTTGTTGTATATTGTAAGATTCTTCAGCTGTAGCACAAGTTTTCTTTGACTCTTGGTTAACTTCTTTATAACTTTGTTTGTAGGTTTGTACTTTGTCTCTACCATTTCGGTGACTAGTGATATATCTTTGTCTTTCTCTTGTAGTTCTCTAAAACCTTCTTTTGTTATACTTGGTAGAAGTGTTGTTTCAGCTGGTGCGATTTCTGCTTCTATGGACATCACATTCGAACGAGTATGTTTCAGCTCACAAGATAGATCAGGGATTTGTGTTGTTTTTGTTAAATGTCCAATGACACTCATGGCGCTCACTTCAAATTGTTCTTCTTTCTCGTCTTCTTCCTCATCCGAGCTATGTTCAAGTCTCGATAAGATGTCTGCTGCAACATTGGTTGAGCCTGGCTTGTATTTGATTTCGAAATTGAAAAAAGGCAAGATCTGATACCCAGCGCTGTTCTACTGCAGGCAGTTTCTTTTTGTACATGATGTATGTCAGTGGATTGTTGTCTGTGAAAACAGTAAATGTAGAACCAAGCAGGTAATCTCTGAACCTCTCTGTGATAGCCCACTTCAGTGCTAGTAGTTCAAGTTTCTTTGAAGAATAATTTTTCATGTTCTTTTCTGAACCTCTCAGGGATCTGCTTCCATAACTGATGACTCGGAGTTTACCATTCTGAAGTTGTTGCAATTCAGCGCCCAGTCCCGATGATGATGCGTCTGTTTCTAGGGTAAAGGGTTTAGAATAGTCGGCAAATGCGAGTACTGAAGCTGTGGATAACATCTTCTTCAATTCATCTTGAGTTTCCGAGCACTCATTTGTCCACAGTTTTTCTATGTTCTCTGTTTTCTTTTGTGTTCTCTTTGTTACTTTCTGAACTAAGTTATGGAGTGGTTGAGCTATGCTGGCATAACCTTTCACAAATCTTCTATGGTAACCAGCCATCCCTAAAAATTGTCGTAGATCTTTCAATGTTTTTGGTCGTTTCCAGTTAACAATCACCTTTATTTTCTCTGGGTCTGGTTCAATACCTTCTTTGGATATTCTGTAGCCTAGATATGTAACTTTCTTCTTGAAGAAGTCACATTTTCTTAGTTCAAGTTTCAGGTTGTAGTTTTGTAGGATTGAAAATACTTTCTCAAGTCTTTCGATCATTTCGTCTACTGTAGAGGAGAAAACTAGGATGTCATCGAGGTAGACTAGTAGTGACTTGAACATCTCGTCTTTGAAGGCCATAGTCATTAACCGTTGATATGTCGCTGGTGCGTTACAGAGTCCAAATGGCATTCGAAGATATGCAAAAATTCCAAGAGGTGTTGTGAAGCTAGTTTTGTGTATGTCTTCCTCTGCAACTTTTATCTGGTGGTAAGCGCTCTGGAGGTCGAGGCTGGAGAACCACTCTGCGTTGATCAGTGCATCCATGCTCTCTTGAATCCTTGGAAGGGGAAAACATCTTTCTTTGTATTGTTGTTCAGGTTTCTGTAGTCAACGCAAAGTCTTAAAGAATTATTTTTCTTCCTCACTATGACTATAGGACTGGCAAAGTTGCTCTCACTTGGTTGTATAATCTTCTTTTGGACTAAAGTGTCTATATGTTCTTTCAGTTCTTGGAATATGGCTGGCGGTATTCTTCGATATGGTTTATTTACAACAAATCCTTCAGGAGTTTGTATTTTATGGACTATTGCATCTGTGTATCCTAAGTCATTCTCATCGGATCCAAATATGTCGTGATATTTCTTGAAAAGTTCTGCTGTCTTGTTATACTCCACTTCATTTCCTGGGAAATCTTTCAAAATTTTTTCAATTTGATCATTTACATGTTGTGGTACTCTAGTTGTAGTCGGAGTAGATTGTGCATCTTCCATCTTGTTGTGTCCAATTGTATTTGTGAGTTCAACTGTACATGTATTCATACTACATGTGACCCTGCAGCAGCTAACTGAGACTGGTTGAACTGTTCCAACAGGAGTTCTCACAGGCAGGAAAACACTAACTTCAGATGGATTCATAATCTTGATCATTGAACAGCCTGATTTTGCGTCGATGTAGCCTGAGATAAGTAGGACGTTCCCTGGTAATGTAGATTCCAATGGTTCAACTATTCCTTGTCCTCGGAAACTTCCAGTGTAGACAGGTACATTAAGTGTTGTTGATGGTGGAATAAGAGACTTTTCTTTCACTCTAATTAAGTGTGTTTTCTGGACTTCTTTATCTATGTTGTCATCTGGTTCCAGATATTTCAAGATGTTCATTCCTATCAAGATTTCTGGGTAGGCTCCTGACTCTGAGTGTACTAAGATTCCACAGTCTTTTATTAAGACATCTTTTATTGTTATATCTTCAATTAATAGACCCTTATATGGTATCTTGAGATTGTTCGCAGCTTTGAGATCCAGCATTTGAAATTGTTGAAGTTCTTTGTTGAAGTGTTTCTTGTAGAATTCTAATGACATCATGGTGACACTACTGCCGGAATCCATTACTCCAGTTGTTTGAATTTCTCCTATTTTTATATTCCATACTGGTGTTTTTCCAACAATCTTTTCCATGTTTGGATGAATAGTTGTATCTGCTGTTACATTTGTTATCACTTCGTTTGATGTGGCTCCTGTATTACTCTGGTTGTCTACGTTTTGGTTACTTTGATTGTTGTTGAATTGGTTGTATCCTCCTCTATTGTAGTTAAATCCTCGTAATCTGCCAGAACCCCTTCTGTTGTTGTACTGACCCCTGTTCTGTCCTCGACCAAATCCATTGTTGAAATTATTCTGACCCCTAAAGTTGTGGTAGTTTCTTTGGTAGCCATTGTTGTTGAAATTGTTTGAGTTATTTTCAGAGTTGTCATTGTTATTTCGCTTAAGATGGTTGATCTCCTTCTCGATCTTTTCCTGTTTATCCAAAATCTTTTGTAGTGTAATTTGTAGTGATGAGTCATTGTCTCTTGAGCTAACTGCACTTGAAGAAACTTTCCGCTGCTCATTTTCATTCAACTCAAATTTGAAAGCAATTTCTCTCAATTGGTGAAATGTGATGTTATTGTTCAAATCTGATATTCTCTGAAGTTCCCATCTTAGTTTAGGCTCATAGGCTCCTACTATCAGTTGTTCCTTCAGTAGTTTATCTCCTTCTAGGTGTTCATGGCTTTGTTTTACGATGTCCATCAGCTTCATTAACGACTGTGTATACTGTGATATGGTTTCATTGTGGTTTTGTTTCCTCGTGTAGAACTCAGTCATTGATTTGTGTGGTGATTCTACGATACCAAACACTCTCTTCAATGTTCTGTAGATATCCTCAGGTGATGGGTTGTTTGATAAATATCTTATTTCACGCCGTGGATTTGGTCCTAAGTGGTAGATTATATCGTCAATCTTTTCATCATTCTTGTTGATACTCTTTGTTGCTATTTTTGCATCTTCACACCAGTCGTAGACATCTTCGTCAGTCTTTCCAAAGAACTTCTGAAGTTTAGGTTTGTTGTAAAGAAGTTTCGTTTCAGTTGAGTTAACCTGACTTGTTTCCTGATGTTCTTTAGTCCTGGTATTAGGGACTGTTGTGTCAGGATTTATGTTGTATTTTTCCTGCAGCGATGTAAGTTCTCTCTCAAGTTTTATCATTCTCAGCTTTTCTTGTACTTCAACTTTTTCTTCATCCTCTAGTTCCTTGGCTAAGTCATCAATCATCGCTTTCCTGATATCCTTTGGTTTGACATCCCCTGGGTTAGTCTCCTGTCCCAAGACAAATTTTTCATCCGGTGATTCAAGTGGCGGCACGTCTTTTTCAGCCATTGTTTTTGATATAAAATGAAAACGCGCACGCAGCGATATGATAAAATACTCTGATTTCGCGTTGTATGTACAAAACCTGCGGAAAATTACACGAAAATGTTTAAAATATATCACCGATAAAATACATCCTGTTGAGAATATGTATAATTGTCCGGGGTACTAGTCTAATATGATCTTATAAACTTGTAGTACTAGAACATGCACTATACTCTGTCCAGTCTACTATTAATACATCAATAAAAATTCAGACAATATAAATGTCAAGGGCACTATGAGATTTTAATTAAAATTGTTACGTTGAACTAACACAATAACTTGTGTCTGGGCTACTATATAGAACATAAGGTTAAGTGGAGGTACCATATACTGATGTAAAGTTGTCAAACTTAAATTGGACACTTTTATGCACCAAATATCAAGATATACACGCTTGAAATATAGACAATAGATAATGACTGGTAAGTTGTGTGTTAAATGGAATACACAAAAAGTAATTTATAAAAGTCAACATGTATACTCAGAAACCAATGTCCTGGATACTATTTGGCAAGCTGGACTTTTATTGACTCACACCAAAATACTACTAGTGTCCTCATTGACCTTGCTAGAAATTATGTTGCTCAGTTTTATGCATGGCTTCACAGTCCAAACTTTTATCAAAGTCCATGAAGTATAATCAGCTGATTCAAATGTAGCTATTCAAGCAATGTTCATTCATCAATGTTAATTAGCTAGGCAAAATTCAACTGTTGCCATTCAAACAATGTTCATTCAGGTGATGTGAGATTATTATATAGGACTGCAATTCAATGTTTATGTGACTCCCTTGCAAAATAATGCAGCATGGAATATTGCCAATGTCTATGTGAAAAATTGCAGTTTTATGCCAATCATAAATAGTTCAATCTCAAGTTGTGTTGATCTTTGACGCTTTTCCATATGTCTTTATCCGTACCACTTACTTGGTTTACCCGACTTCCATCAGTATTAGCTTATGTGGCCTGGTCATAAAAAAATATCTACCTATCCATAAAACAGTAGCCTAACAATAGCCTAGCAATTGGGAAATGAATTTCTATATTACGTGTCGGTATTCAAAAACCAGTGAAATATCAATGTAACATCAGTGTATTGTAACACCCGCAGTACCAGTGTAACCATGGGGCGAGGGACAACACATGGGAACACGAAAAATGATGTAAAACTATAAAACACTGATTTATTTCAAAAATATATATGCAAATGGAATAAAATATCTGGTTTAAAGTGACAATCTAGCTTAAAGTGAATAGCTAGCTTAAAGTGAATAGTTAGCTTAAAGTGAATAGCTAACTTAAAGTGAATAGCCAACTTAAAGTGAATACTATCTAGCTCAAAAATCTATCTGTCTAAATGACCAAAATCTATCTGCCTAAATGACCAAAATCTATCTGACTAAATGACCAAAATCTATCTGCCTAAATGACCAGGCCACCCGCTAGGGCACCCACACTTGACCCTGAATATATCTCAACAGGGTGGTGAGTATTAGCACTAGAAAGCCCACTGGTAGACCCGTGGCAGGTCCTGGCTGTTTGAAAGTTGAGGCTAATACTGAAGAAAACATGTGAAGTGTGAATGAAAGTTAAGCTCCCAGCAGGGTTTGATTAGCCTACAGAAAACTGTAAAATGAAATATTTAGCCCTCCATAACAGGGTTATTGAAAATATAAAAATCCAAATGTCACACTAAAATTGCTAAGTTTGTAAAAATTATGAAAGGACATTTTTTTACACAAATAATAAAAAAGTATTCTTCAAATATCAAAAATCTAAGTTTTTCTTTCCTAGAGTATCATAACAAGGAAAGGATGTACACTAAAGATAAATGGAAGATTGATTTTAAATTTCACATAAATTGGAAAATGTATTTTAATAAAAAGATTATAGCAATTGTTGATAAAAAGGTACACTCCCCTCCATAAGTTTGGCAACCTTTTTTCCCCCATTGAACTACGTGTTAAAGCCTCTTTACCTTTGAATTTTTATTTACTTAACCTGCGATGAAAATACTTATACTATTGGTGGAAACGTAATTTGACTTTAATTCCAATACCTCCAAATTTTCTCAATTGTTTTCCTCATTTACAATAGGTCGAAAATTGATGATAACTTTGATGAATTTTTGAAAATCGACAACCCTTCCTATTTTGAAGATAATCATGTGATTGTAAGATACTAGGAATATGGGTGTTATTACTCTAGAACTGTTCTGCAGGGGGTCTTTTGGAGATTGATAAATCAATATAGGGTTTTTATACAATTTAACGGCTAAATATATTAGAAATAAGAAATATTTAAAATGTGCCTGTGGGATTTTTTGAAATGTCAATATATTAACTATAGAAATCTACAATATTAGGAAATTGTATAGTAGACTTTTTGATAAAAGGACATTTTAATAAAGCCATATTGATAGCGGTTTATAATGGCAGCCAATGGAGATTTTCCAAAATTCAAACGCCAATATCTTTTGAACTAGGCAAAAGAAAAAAACATCCCTTCTTATTTTGAAGATAATCATGTTATTGTAAGAATCTAGTAATATGGGCTTTATTACTTTAGAACTGTTCTGCAGGGGGTCCTTTGAAGATTGATTAATTAACATGGAGCTCAATGTAAATGTGCAGAATTTTTGAGGCCACTTTTCCCCATCACTTCGTTAGATATCAAAAATATATGTATTAATGATACTTCTGTCAAATAATGGTGCTTTATATATAGCATGTGCAATTGAAGAGCTAACTGACTGCACTATACTGCATCATTACCATATTTGGATGTTCATGATAACTTTTCAAAATGGCGTTTTTAATACATCACATATTTGTACATTGAAATTATTTAGGTGAAAATAGAAAGAAATACTATATTTATTATTTAGATTAGTGTACACTCGCGTTGTCTAAATAACCGATGTCATGTAGAAACTGAAAAAACTTGTTGTACAGGAATATCTTGAATATTCTTTTTGTATATTCTATTCAGAAGTCATAAAATGTCATGATAATTAAAGAAAGGATCCATCGTTATCTGACCGTGTTGAGGGGTTCAATATTGTTGCTACATTTCCATTTCTTTATAGATCACTTGAGTTAGTGATTAATTGGGAATGATGGCTGCATCCTTAGTTTTCAGAAGTCATATGACTTTCGCATAAATCTTCAACGCTTTTGAAATTACCAATCGAGTTTTACTTATGTTCGAGACATCATAAGGTGTAAGGTAGTGGAAGCCACAATGTTGGTCAAAGGTTTGTTTTCGTATGTGAGTCCCGGACTTTAAAATTCTGGAGTTGGTTTTCCCAAGTACTTCCTAAACCTAGTAACGAGAGTATTGGCTATGAGAGTTACGGTGTCTTGTGGACTTTTAAAACTAGATTTGATTATCTTATACTTTCAAACGGACTATCGCATCTAGGATCTAGATATTCTGGTTATGATGGAGAGTTAGCGTTACACAATCTCCGCATTCTGACGATGAAAAAACAAATGCCATTTTATTTGTCCCCTTGTACGATTTCTACAAATATTCAGTCTTATAGACAACAAATCTATGGTTATTTTTCAACCTGAAATATTGATTTCAGAAAATTGTGATGCATGTTCACGCCCGGTGATCGTGAAAATGGGACGGAGGGGGAGCAAGCAATTTCTGGTAGAAAAATGAACAAATCTGCAAAAATTATTTTTTCAAGAAAAGGTTTATGATTTAATTGCTAAACGAATAGGCGCACGGTATGGTAAAATATGTCACGTATTCTACGAATTTTTTTAGCCGATTCTCTTCTTAGGTATAAGATCTATTAAAAAAGGCGCAACGCCACCAACGTGCAAAAGTCAATGTTTTTGCTTAAATCAAGCATCAACGGTCTACACAACCTGCAATAAATATTTGTAAGTGACAATATCATCATAAAATTAATGACCTTAATGACTTTACAAAATATGTTTCCATACGTTGTATAAAAAATAATCGAAAATAATTAAAATGGGACGGAGGGGGGGGGGACGGAGGGGGGAGCAATATGTCTCTAAGATATGATATGAGATGTTACTTGATACTTTATATCCAGATTTTCCCATTATCTCCTCAATTAAAAAGGGTCAGGAATTGATAACATGTTGTACTTGTTAGGTTTAGTTAGAGGGGTCAAATTAAGGTTGGCAAAATATTCCAGGAGACATTCCATTTTTATCTATAAATGTTTACCTGTCTTAACGTTTTTACTTGCTGATTTGTAGGCATATCATACACAGCACATCACCCTTTGGACATGTAAGTTTCAGCGAAAATGTAAGTTATTCACAGCGAAGTAACAATCTACTTGATATTAATTATGCGATATATTTTAATTATGCAGAATTGAATAAATACAAGAAGCTCACGCGTCTCCAACTCACCTGATGGCTATGACGTCTTTGTCTAGCTGAGATTCTGGCGCTGTAGACTGCTCGGCCAACTGGCAATGCCAAAAAAACAGAGAATTTACACTTAATAGTCTGCTAGGAATGTTCCCAGTGAATGTGCCACATTCATGCCATGGGTGCAACCCCTATTACACAATTTGTTAATTATTTGAAAATTGTTTTGTGTGCTTATTAAATCAGTAAGCCATATCTCATCCGGTTTCCATTGGGACAGGCTCAAATCGTTCTGATATCAATGTTTTTGCATGCTCAAGATTCTCTATTTTGAAGAAATACTAATGCATTGTCAATGTATGTTAATATTTTCATTGACCACATAACTTTAAATCTAAGCAATATATGCAAAGTACATTTCAGTATTTGGCGTAATAGGCGATGTGCCCATGGTATGATTGGGTACACTAATTGGAAAACTTCCTGGCAGATTATTTAGTCTAAATTCTACATCTGCTGAAGACCAACATAATCAAAAATATTAACATATACTAGATATCTGGTAGTGAAACAACTTTAGTAACTGCTTACTCGAAAACTTGCATGTCCAAATAGAAATATGATGCGATGTCTACATTTTTATGATAAGTCTTCAAAAAATAAAAACTATTATACACATGAAAAGATAAACGCTCTCCTCCAAGATTTTGATAATCCTAAATAAATCTAACTACGAATACAACTTGTTATCAATTCCTAACCCATTGTAATTGAGGAGAAAATGGGAAAATTTGGATATAAAGTGAAGTAACATCTCTCATCATGTCGTATAGACATTTTGCTCCCTCCCCCCTCCGTCCCCTCCCCCCTCCGTCCCATT